TTCCATTAGATGATAATCTTTGGGTTTGCGACCTCTCTTACGTGGTGGTGGTTTCTCGCCAAATATACTAGAAATTTTCGAGGATAGCAGTGATAGATTGGGTTCATTGCGACACAGATCCTTGATCGATTTGCCGGACTTTTTAATGGCTTCGAAAATGTTGTCATCGGAAAATTCAGCATCACTTTGAATGCTGGAACTCATAACAGAATTTTGATCCTCCAAACTCTTGCGTCTTCTACGAGGAGCTTGTTCTATAAAAACGTAAAGAGGGAAAATAAATCAAACTTAGAAATTATGAAAACAACTAAAGCTACACCATAAAAAACCCACCCAGAAAATCAACTTTCATACCACCCGAATAAGCATCAAATGTATAAGCGACACTACGTTCAATTTTCGGCATTTGTTCCTGGGAGTAATTGTGAACCTTCTTATAATGGAATTGCAGACACTGTTTGGTGGTGAAGGCAGCATTACATTCCGATTCCGAACATCTTAATGCAAATAAAAAATAACACATTATAAATTACGTTCAATTAAGCTTTAATAATGATTTAAAGACTCACTTAAATGGCCTCACACCGGAATGTGTTAGCATGTGTATCTTCAAATTACTGCGATTCTGGAAGAGCTTCTGACATCGGGGACAACTAACCACTGTCGAATTGCGACTGTGTACCTCCTTGGCATGACGCTGCAATGCTGCACGTGAGCCTAGAAGTTTGGAACATAAGTTACACTGAAAATCTCGTAAAACATCAGCCACATCTAAAATGAAAATTTTGGAATGAAGAGAAATGAAATTTTGGAGAAGTGGTGACTTTTGGTGTACAAACAAAATCATAAACCAAAAAGTGATTAATTGTTTAAATTAGGAGCATAAATTTAATACTGGATTGTTAAGGCGGGTTAGTTTTTAGTAGTAGTTGTTTTTGGGTTAGTACTTTATGCATCATGCGTTGTTAGATTAATCGTAGCTATTAGATCTTATATTGCTTCTAAGCTTGATTGTTAAAGAGCATTAACGGTTTTAAACTTATTAAACATTGAGTGAGTTAGATTAGTTTGTGGACGTTTCCTGACATCCGGGAGTAGCTGAAATTTGCGTAGTTTAAGTTGATTCAGTACTTCAAGTGTAGACCAGGAAATTCCAATAATTTTCCGTTTCCCCATTGTCGCGTATTACTGTTGAATTTCTCAAAGATTCCTTTTTTTAAAGTTTAGAGTATTTTTCTTAATAGAGTCGACAATTTTGTGGAGTAGTTTCCTTAATTAAACGGAAAATCAATATTCGCTCTACATTTCGAACTCCAAGATGTATTTGAACCGTATAAAATCTAGGTATACCGACTCTTTCAATTCGAGGACTTAAGGGAAAGACAGTTTAAATAAATTAAATGTTTATAATAATAAATGCAACCAATTGTTGTTAGAGTTCATGAGTTAAATAAATAATTGTTAATTAAAATAAAAAAAAAGAAACAAAATCAAAATATGACATCAACTTAAGGGGAAAAAAGCATTATGATGTAACATTGATGGATGTTAATGTAATGCGATGAATGTTGATGAAGATGAGCTGATTGTTATACGAATAATAAATACAAATACATAAGTACATATACATATATACAGAATTACATACATAGATATTATATAGACCAAAATAATATTGATTCAAAACAAAATGCGTATTTCGTGTGGCTGTGTATGTTTAGAGACCAATTGCTATGACAATTATAAGTGTAAATGTATGAGCAAAGTGTGTGAGTAGGAGGGAAATCTGAAACGTTTTTATATAAAAAAATGGAGTCTCATTTATCGAAGGAAATTATGTTAAAGGGGTTGTTTGGAAAAAACCTTCTTTGTAGGGCTTGAATATGCCGAAATGTAAGAGTTCAACGTCAGTATATATTCGTCCCTTTAAAGAGTTATGTTACGTACACTTAACAGTACTTCTTTTCACCGATCGTTATTAATTTTCAACTTAAAACTCAACCATGAATTTTATCGTAAGTAACAGCGAAGAATTTAAGATATAACGGTCATTGAAAGAATTGACATCAGAACTCGTGGGTATATCAGTGCTTGTTTTAGATGAGGGCTTTCAAATCGATTTTAGCAATGACGATCATGTTGTCAACAGAATCAATACGCTGATCGAGGAAGATGGTTCCGTATCGACACCACTAAGTCTTGCATTTGCATTATTATAATATAATCTTATATATACTTGAAATTGTGCCAAATAGTTCATTGGCGTTTGAATATTTTGTCCTTGGTTATTAGCCGAACCATTTGTGGCATCCAAATCGTTGTTGGGTTATTTTTGAAACAGCTCTAGTAAGAGCATTAGTTCCGGTATTGTGATGATATAGGGGACTAATTTCGGCCTCCAATATCCCAATATAAAGTAGAGATTTAGATCAATATCAAATGCCTTAATTTGCCTTCTGTTCCAGTGGGACTAAAATTAATGAGGTAATGGTAGGTCGTAATTTATCTATTTTCTATATATCCCTTGCACTCGAGATTTTATTGGACTGCACATTTCTGAGACTAACAAGCTACAGGTCGCTGCAACATAAGAGTGTAATGGCTTCCTTCCAATTGACATTTCTCGGACGAGTGCCATCTTGTTTTGCTATGCTGCAAACATCTTTATTTTGAGCTGTTTTAGAGTCACTGACTCTGGAAAATCCCAAAGCGAAATAACCCAAATGGCCATTTAATAATGGCGGTGTCATATTCTATTTAACTGCCCTGAACTCCTTTCTTTGTCTATATAAACAAAGTCTAAACTTTACAAGCTTTTGAGAAAGCTTTTTTCCCGAAGATCTTGCTAGAATGATTTAAAATGGCGCAAGCGGTCGGTGCAAAGTATTCAACTTACGATTGTAACTCTCCAAACTGCATTATTTTACTGTTTCCTTAGACATTAGATTCTGTATATAAACTGCAGAGTCAGATAGCTTTCAATGGAACTTATCGCTCAAAAGTTCTATCAAGGACTTTCAAAAATTAGTACAAATTGATACAACAGTGGATATGCCTTCTCGATCGCCTTAGTGGAACTCTGAGGACTAATATAAACATTTTCAAAATAACTTATCCCGATATTTCGATGTCAAAAAGGTTTGCTTATGAAATTTCGATAGAGAATCGTTTTAACAATATAACAAACTAGGAACTGACGGCATTTGGAAAATGTGGGCTTATCGTCCACTGATTCGTGGAATCTTTTGAAATTTTCAAACATATTTAGCATAGTCTTTATAACTCGTAATGACTTTTTAATCCCTTTCCATAAGTATGAAGACTTCATCGTAAAATATCTGCGTACATCCCAAGAATCCTTCATGATAGCTTAGTTTCCGAAGTCACCTCTAACATCAACCGAGGTTTTCAAAACTCTTAGATCTTATATCATCTGAAAGGAAATACGAATCTGTTCTGGGTCGTATTGACACCTCGAAGTTACGTTTTTAATAGAAAAAATCGTTAATGTTATTTTAAAAACTGCTCTCGTATATTAGCACTTAGTTTATTACCACAGCAACTAAGTATTTAGACACACACTTGCCCCACGCTTTTATACGCATTTTCAAATGTATACATACTGACAAATACTTAATGAGACAAAATACAATCATATAACAGTCCTATAAAGCAAATTAATTGTCTGTGGTTGTATTTCGCCTTTTAAAATTATAATTAAATTTAAGACAAAATTTAAGTTTTCTTCACTTCAATGTAAATATTAATACTAACTACTTAATACCTTTAATTGTTACAAAAAATAAAAAATAATTAAAATTTCCAAACTACATACATAAAAATTTTTTGCTTATAAATCAAATCTCTTTAGACAATATACTATAAAATACGTAAACGTGCTGCCAAATGACCAAAACAGTTTTAGTTTTGAGGTTAGTTTTTTGTTTTGGTTTTTACTATTTCTCATAATGTTCTTTGTTTTTAGTTGTTGTAGTTTTTTTTTTTTGCAAATTATTTTCTTACCACTGTGCATACGCTTAATGTGAGCTTTCAGTTTTTGTGGTCGATAGTATTTTCGACCACAAAAATCACATATAGGCCGTGTACGATTCGGATTTGCGGCACAACCGTATGTGCGATGCATTTCCAAATAACTGAGACGTAAAAAGAACTTGTTGCAAAATTGACACTGATGTGCACCTTTGCCATCATGTTTTTCCGCAGCATGTTTCATAATATTGTCCTTACCCAATACCGCTTCACCGCATACTTTACAATGATATTTACGTATTGTTAAACTCATTGTTGGGTCATGGAATACCGAGCAATGGGTGCGATAGTAAAGGGGATGATCAAATTTCAAATTGCAACCGCCGCAATCTGTTGTTGTTGTTGTTGGGGGAAAAAGAAATAGTTATTAATAGAGTTTTTTTAAGGTAAATATTTTGTTAAAATCCTGGAGGTATTTTCTAGCTATTAAAGAAAACTTTGAACAGCCTGATAAGTTTGCAACTTTTTTAATATTTATTATGTAATATCATCATTTGTCTGTGTTAGTTGAAATAAACTTTCTGAAATTCCTATAGAACTTTGAACCTATAGAACTTCTTAACACTCAAACTCTTGATTACTTATTCAATTTGCTAATAAATTCCTTTTCTTATCTTTTTACTTCTAGAAAATACTTATCTTCATAGTTCCGGTAAGTCTAATTTTATTCATAATTTTAAAACTATGTACCTGATTTAAATTTATAAGAACTGCTAGTCTTAATTTCTGAAAACACGAAACACGTTTAAAATTCCTTTAGCTAGATTAAAAACTAATTTTTTCAACTTCCATAACTCACTTATTTAAAAGAAACCCCACCGCCCTTTTTTACAATTAACAATTAACTGCAAACACAAAATTCAATAAAACTCACTTGTCTTTTCCGACCAATGTTTCTTACGCCACATCGTATTGCAGTCATCACTCCAATACAGCAATTCCATACCATTTTTCAAATCCCTGCATGTCACGAAAAACGCCCGCGATTCTATAAATACTAAATTAACATTACGTTCGTCATAGGTAGGAGCCGGTCTAATATAACGTAACCAATTCGATGAATTCGGATTATCACACAAGAGAAATTGTGATTTTTCAGCACCGGCTTCACAAATCTCAAATATCCATTTCATATCACTAGCCTCACGAATATCGTTCGCTTGTACAGATTGGCCGATGAGGGGTCCCAATTTCGTGAAAGCTCTTACTTCGGTGCGAGCAAAGACTCCGGTGACATTCGGCTCTACATTGTGTAGTTCAAATTCAGCCGGTACTGAAGCCTCGGCAAATGTTATTAAAGGTTTCAGTTCTAAGTCAGATAGTTGTGAGGAATCATCCATATCTTCATCATCATCGCCATGCAATTGTTTGGCTTGCCTTTGGGCATCACATTTGAGTTTTGCCAGAGCCTCTAGATTTTTACGTTCCACCCATTCGGCCAAGTCAACAGCATCTGTTATGGTGCCTATGGAAGTGCGTAGCGGACATACTTTATAATCATGGGCCAAAGAACATTCCCGACACGATTGATGCGAACGAAAGGCAATATCCAGCTCATCCTCTTCCTCCACGAAATTCTGTTCATTTTTCATTTCTCGCGCTAAAGCTTCCTCATCTAATTCCTCGTCTTCTTCATCATCCTCACTAACATCTCCAATGTCTTCATCATCATCGATATAGGAGCCGGGGGGATTCATAGTCTTGGGTCCTCGTTTGTTTTTGTGGCGCATACGAAAACCACTATTAGGGCCATTTAAACCATCCACACCATCTCCTGTAACCGAAGTGCCGGCATCGTCTTCATCATCATCCTCATCATCGCCAAAGCCATCGTTTTTCTTTAAGCACAAGGCTAATGATTCCTTAGATGCTGACTTCTCTTCCATTTCACTTTTGATTTTTTCTGCTATACGACAGTCCAATACTTCCGGCAACACATCACCCGTACCACTGGCGCTAACATTGCTATCACCTACCACACTACCATTGCCACTACCAGCAGCTGTACTACCGCCATCACCTGCCAAATGTTTTTTAGCTTTTAAAGCAAAATTTGAGAAATTCTTTAATTTAGCCAGGCCATTTAAGTTGTCATTGAATTGTACACGTTTTTTATATTTTCGTTTAACCGGTGGTGGCTGGGAATCACCACCACCACCGCCACAACTAACGGCACCACCATTTTCACCTGTCTGACTATTACTGCCGAATTCTTTAGCACTTAAATTTGGTTCAAGTTTGAAATTACTATCGAATGACTTGGTAGGTGTTGTCGAAGCCGATGGAGGAGGAAGACTGTAAAGAAAATAGATAAGGATAGAATTTGAGATTAGAGTAATTGATGGATGGTTGGTTGTTTTGAAAATAAGTAGAATGTTGAAAACTAACACACGCATAAAAACCATTATTTTTTTATTGATAAAATATAGATCTCTAGTCTTAATTTTTATTTATTAGAATTTTGTAGTGGTTTCAGGGAGAGTAGTTCAAGTTGGCTATTAAAGTTAAGATAATTAAGAGAATTTCTGTACAAATGAAAATCATTCCGCTTTTACGGAATTATTTGATCAAAAAGGATCCATTTGGATCTGTTTGAACAATTTCATCTTCCGCCTCATTCGTTAGGTCAATACCCCGCCGATTCATTCTACTTTGACCAAAAATATCCCAAATGCAAACAAACCTTCTTAAGCGATCTCGCATGAACTTCCCTACTGCAACACTACTCGAAACATCTCGAACATGCAATTGTGCTCTTTGGCCAACTTATAAAACTTTTTTCCCTACTTCAAGGCAGCTTGTTGATGCACAGAACTTAAGATACGATTGAACAAAAACTAAATTAATAAACTATAAGAAAAAAAAGAACATTAAATGAAAAACCATAAACTAAATCCACAACCAGAATCAGAGGAAAAAAACATCCTACAACATCAAAGTCAAAGTAAAACAAAACTAACTGTAAAAGTAATACAGGATTCGTTGAATATCACGGGAAAATGGATAAATGAACGTGAAGAACAAAAAAAAAAAACTAACAACAAACCAAAACGGACGGAAAAGAAAAGAGCACAACGAACATTTGTAGGAAAAAAAAAATAAATAAAACACGTCCTAATGCAGGGAGCCCTTCAAGAGAGATTAAGATGTACTCCTGTACGTGGATGTGTGTGCTTTTCAATGTGTATATTTACATTCGTTGTATATGTGTATTTACACTTTATGTGTATTCAAGTGTGCACGTACTTGTGTGTATATTTACAGTACATGTACTGCTGAAGTGTTAGTTAAGTTTGCTTGTATGTATGTTCTGAATGTGTTATGTTTGTATGTTTTTGTTTTTAGTGTATATGTGTGCAATCGCGTTATTAATGTGCGCCCAGTCTAATAAAAACACATTCATGTTTTGCTATATCTACATACGAGGCTTGATAAGAAGGAATGCAATGTCTTCAATAGAATCCAAGCCCTATTAAGTAGTTGAAGTGAAGGGAAACGCATACTTCTACATTATGATATACTCGTAATTAAAGTCAAATTTCTTCCAACGATAAATGATCGAATGGAATCAGTCCTTGTCATTCTATTACAAGAACCACCTCAGAATAATACCCATAACAAATGTATAAATTGACTGTTGACTAAAAGACTCTGGATTAATCTTATTGACTCTGGATTAATCTTTAATATAAGGAGTAAAGTGAAAAAACTACTTCAAACAGTACACTAACTAGAAACAAATTGAAACTTTAAACTTAAAACTTTGTCCCTCGTGACTGGCTCAGGAATTTGAAATATCATTGAGAACAATCCGAGAATTGAATGTCTAGACTTCGAACTTTTACATTTAGATTTTTTCATCTGTCAAGGCCCGCAATACCAGCGTAATAAGGTCGATACTCCTTCTCTATTCCATTTATACTCTCTCCCAGCTCAAACAACATATTTCCTGTCATCGAACATTCGTCGATAAAAGAAACGAAGCTCAGGTCTACCATTGTGACTTCTGTATATCCACATACTTTGGGCACAGGGTATACAGAGGCGTCACGAGCAAAAAAACTATTTCTATCTCTTTCAACACAAGTTTCACACTACTCTTTTTTTAGCTGTAGTTTATATATCTCTTCATGTACAAGTTATCACAAAAGCTGGACAACATCTGATTTTAGACTTTTTTAAACGTCAAAGGTGACACCTCTGTATACTTTGTGCTTTGGGCCCGAATTTTTATCAACTACAAACTTGGTCTACTTTAATAGGCCTTCCCAACCTACCCTCGCTGATAGATGTTTGTATTAAAGCATGTTTTGTTTTATAGTCGAATATGACTCCCTTGAGTTTAGGTGGTACTAAACTAAGAACAAAATACAAACTAAACTAACAACTATGTATTTGCAACAAACAAACAGGGTGTGTAGCGAAGGGGGAAGAGCAAATGAATGAATGTTTTTATGTGAATCTATATTTGGATGTGTGTGGTAAATATGTAAGCAAAAACAAGACATTGAAAGTAAACAGAAAATAGGTATGTTCCTCTATATACATATGAATGTAAGTTTGTACTTACACACGAGAATCAGCTTATGTATGTATGTATTTATATGGTTAAATAGCAAGTAGCAGTAATTGTACAGCTAGTTGAAGCAAAGATTAACAACAGCAGCAGCAAAAACAACAATAATAAAAACAAATAAACATACTTATACGAGCAATGCTTAGAGGAATGCAATAAGAGGAACGTAGCATGACTACGTTTAGAAGTAGTTGCTTGTTAAGGAAAATTAAAGAATGCTTACGAAAGGAAAATGTTTACGACTTTCAACGAAAATAACTGAGTTTCAAGGAATCAAACTTTTTTCGTTCAAGAATATATAATTGTAATTGTCTATCCACTTAGAATTAGTTATATAATCAGTGATTTTGTTGCTTAAAAGTAATGCAAGACAAACTATTTATGACATTTAGAAAGAAATTTGTAGTAGTTGTTGTAATAGGCCCATTATACATTAGTGTTTAAAACTACAGGGTGTTGTCACGCACATATATATAAATTAATGTATTCCACATTCAACATAAATTTATTATTACATGCAAGTAAGTATGCAGAGATTTCCATAAATATGTAAAAGTATACAGTGATGTTTTAAAATATTTATATTTTATTACACTGGTCTGCAAAAAAATAGAATTTTTTGCTACTTTGAAATTTAGTGCATGATTATGATAGCTTGAGTCTTCCTGCATCGAGATGTTTTAAAATATTTCTTTCTAATACGTACAATTTTTAAGCGATTTTAATTTTAAATAATCTGAACTTGTGCTAGTCCTAATAATTATTTTTTGGAAATTGCGTTATTCTTAAGTGAACTATAGGAATGTACCGTATCATTTATTAAAAGAAAGTATATTTTTTTTGGATTTTTATAAGATTTATTTGCAATCAAAGCGTTTAATAAGTTTTTCAAAATTTTCTACTTTGAGTTGGATGGAGCTACACTTGGTCTTGAATTTTTGCATGTATATATATAATCTTATAAGTTATAAATGCAATGACATTAAAGAAATACATAAGTATAATTAGGAAAAATTATTTTGGAATGAGGTCGTTGAAACAAGGGTTAACGCAAAATATTTAATATTTCAGAAACTTGACGTGGTAAAAGGAATGATTTATTGAAGATCAGTGTTATTAGTGTTGCCGATTTATGCCAGAAACGTCCCAAACATGTTTTAGTTCAGTTAGTTCAGTTTCTAGTTCAGTTCTAGTTCAGTTCTAGTTCAGTTCTAGTTCAGTTCTAGTTCAGTTCTAGTTCAGTTCTAGTTCAGTTCTAGTTCAGTTCTAGTTCAGTTCTAGTTAGTTCAGTTCTAGTTCAGTTCTAGTTCAGTTCTAGTTTCAGTTCTAGTTCAGTTCTAGTTCAGTTCTAGTTCAGTTCTAGTTCAGTTCTAGTTCAGTTCTAGTTCAGTTCTAGTTCAGTTCTAGTTCAGTTCTAGTTCAGTTCTAGTTCAGTTCTAGTTCAGTTCTAGTTCAGTTCTAGTTCAGTTCTAGTTCAGTTCTAGTTCAGTTCTAGTTCAGTTCTAGTTCAGTTCTAGTTCAGTTCTAGTTCAGTTCAGTTCTAGTTCAGTTCTAGTTCAGTTCTAGTTCAGTTCTAGTTCTGTTCTAGTTCAGTTCTAGTTAGGTTCAGTTCTAGTTAGGTTCTAGTTCAGTTCTAGTTCAGTTCTACTTTAGTTCTACTTCAGTTCTAGTTCATTTCTGGTTCAGTTCAGTTCCAGTTCACACTTTTTATGGGCTGAAACGGAGATATTAACTTTGGTAGTCTGTGGTATCAACCAGATGGCTCCCATATACAATATGTATACAATTAACAATAGATATTTTAATCCTTAAGATTATTTTGCGATGTGCTTGTAAAGGCTAATGCAATATCAGGAAATGATCCACAACCTTAAGGCTAATATCGTTTTAGCCATTCTTCAGATTCGACCTGATTAGGTCTCACACTACTCCTATCAAAAAAGTCAGCTGAGCATAATTATTTTATTGAACTGTTGAGCAGATATTTTTCTGTGGTGCTACTTCTCGGAATGGGATGTTCGGATTCCCAGATGTTCCAATCTATAAATACCGCGTAGATATTTTTCTTGCCGGACACTCAAAAAATTTTTGGTTAAGATAATCGATTCGCTTTTCTTATAAATATTGGCAACACTGTTAATAATACCCAGTTGTAAGTTGAAATTACAGTTATACACAACAATAATACAAATATACAATTATACATACAAGTATATCTACTTAAACATATATGTGTCTGTGTGTAATTATAACAAGCGTAATGTATGCGTGTAAATATGTATGTATTTATGTGTATGTTTGTGATATGCGGTCAGAATATTTGAGATACCGAAAACACGGCCCCATCAGTGGGGGGTTTTATAGAAAACTGAAGGTTTTTCGTTGTTAAGTTTGTTTCCTTTTTGGATCCATATATTTTTTTGTTTTAGTATGTTTTCTGCTATTTTCGTTGTTGTTGTTGCTGCTGTATTTTTTCATTTAGCAAGAGGATCTAAAGTAGTAAAACAGCATGTGCACTCTACTGTGTTCGTGTTTTATAGTTGAATACTATTGAGATTTGAATAGTCAAATGGTTGTACGTATGAATGTGTAATATTATGTATGGATGTATGTATAATATTGTGTGAATACATAAGTTTAAATATGTGGGATTATATGTGTATGTTTAACTGTGGGTACACTTTATTCCACAGCTAATGTTATGAAGAAGGATAATGATGCGATTGTTAGTCATAGTGTTGTTGTGGCAGTTCTACTGATGAATTTCCTGTAACGGTTTTATGCACATACAAGTACAAATAAAGTAGTAAATGTAAGTATACATACATCCATGTGTGGTCTACACACATACTATTGTATATACGTTGGTATACTATATGCAATTTTCGTGAAAATCCCTATATTTCCAACTCCCCTTAATACCCCTTACTCCATATAGACTCAGTTCAACCGACAATCTTGCAAACACTGGCAACAAACGTTTTCTCTTAACCACACTGTATTTTTTTCCTCATATTTGGGCTCCATTTTTTCAGTGTTTTCCTTTTTTTTGTAATTGCACTTGAACAATTTTTCACTTTTGGTTTGATTTTCAAACTCATACGAATGGCATCAAGAGGATGCAGAGCAGAATGAAAAATAAGTAAAAAAAGAAATTTGCTGAAATTTACAAAGGAAATTGTATGTGTGCACATTTGTTGCATTCATTTTTATGGTAAAAAACAAGATTCGCAGCAAAACTGCATGCCTGCTACATATACAAGGATATGCAGTCCTAAGAATCCAGTCAAGCCCATCCAGAAAGCCAGAAACGAGGGTCTGGTAGAAAGCTAAGCTCAATCAATGCCCTACTCATAGAGTTGAATGACAATCGACACTTTGAATTTAGCTGTAAAGATCGATGAAGTTCAAGAAGACCGCGAAATTGGAAGAAAAATTATTTTAAATTTGGAAACAAAAAAATATGATAAAACAATCAAAGTCGGTCAAACTATATAGTTCTCTACAACGTTAAAGGCAAAACTTAAAGAATTTGGTGTCAAGGCAGCTAAACATCATCAACTCCGTATCATGAAAGATCGTACAAATTCAATGCTATATTCTACTTTCTTCTGATCCAGCAGATCTTATAGTGCGCACAGCAGCCCACTTTTTGGTTGAAGAACCAACTACTACAATTTCTAAGGGTGAACTACTAGATGATAAAATCGGCAATGGCCACAAGCTACAGTAGATAAGATTCATACTGGTTAAGCTGGGCATATGTATAAGAGGTTATTCCGAAGTGATCCTTACATGAGAGTTAAATCTAAATAAGTATTAACCGATCGTGACGAATTTATGTACCTATCTACATATATTTTGTAGATTGCATTACATCTTGAAGCCAATTTTAATTTTCTAAAGTTTAAGTGGTTTTCAGAAGTTGGCCTTATACATATGGAGTCGAGCATAACATGATCCGTAATATGATTTCGGTAAATAGGAAAGTTATCTTTTAAAATCATATCCGATAGAAGGGTTAATATGTCCAATGAACCGATTACAGCCGTTTAAATCCGATTAGTGTTTGTTACAATATAAACGGTTGGGCGTACATCTTTAAATCGGTTCGGAAACTAACTCTAAACATCTTGTTACACTTAATTGTAGGTTTAAGGCCAGATTGGAGATATTGTTCTTTTCTTACATAACAGTTTTTACCTGGACAATGGCCACTATCTATAGCAAAGAAGATACAGGTTCAGTGGAATATATAAAGGGTTTTTCAGAAATGATCCTTAGATGAAAGTTACGTCTATATAAGAACCGATCGTGACGAAATTTTATAAGAGATTTCCATAGTTTAAAGATTTGCACAATTTTACCTTATATGAGAACTATGACCAATCATCGGCTCACCATAACGGAATCCGTAATATAATTTTGGTAATTAGGAGAGTTATCTGTAAAAATGATATCCGAGAGATGGGTTTATATGAAGGCTATATTTAAAGAACAGATTACAATCCGTTAAATCCGATTAGTCTCAAGTACGATATAAGGCGGATGGAAGTACATCGTTTAATTGGTTCGAAAATTAACCTTGTTATACTTAAGAAGGGTCAAAGACCATTATTTTTAACGTTACAAATATTATATTATGATGCATGCTAAAAATATGTAAATTTGTCAATCAGCCCTCCTATCTTCATTTTAACATTTTGGCGTTGTTCATGTTGATGTTTTTTTTTTCTTGTTTGTTGCAATTCTGACCAAAAAACTACAAAAACAAGGGACGCATTAAAAAAGCAATAAAAAAAACTACTGAACATTGCTCTATGTAGTACTACATATAGCCGCGCAAAAATATCATGCGAATGAGTTTTTAACTCACACTGTGAAATTGGTGTAAATAATTTTTTACTTTGTTGTTATTTGCTAGCGCAGATTGTTGTTGTTGTTGCTGCTGTTGGTTTCTTTTTTTCATCTGCACTTTTGTTCAGTTCTTTGTATGTTCGTTACGTTTGTGTTTTTATTTCCGCTTCCGCTAACATAGCAACATCGTTATTATCGTCATCATCAACACAGTGAACATGAACAGCAGCAGCAGTTCCCTAGCACTATCGTCATCATCATCATCATCATCATCGCCATTGTCGTCGTCACGATTATCGAGCATGTAATTTACAATGCAATGCCGTGGAAGCAAACTACAGGAATGAACGAACAAACGAACCAATGTTTTTTTTTTTTTTTGGAAAACAAAGTGCCATTGCAATGATCCACACGACAAGTAAACATAAATATACAATTCTTTTTTAGCGTTTTGGTTTCAGTTTTCTGGATTTCAACTGCCATTAAAAACTTTAATGTATTGCTTTTATTTCCATTTTTTCTCTTAACTTTACTTTGTGGCAAAGTGTTCACCAAACGCAAATATCAAAAAAAAAAAAAGGTTATTTTGTTTTAAATTAAACAGGGGCTTTATTGGACGAGCGAAGAGGAAATGGTTAGAAAAAGTGTTTGATATCGAATGCAACATACTTATCACCTTTGTATTACTTAATAATTGTAAAGAATTATAATTGAATGTGGATAAGAATGTAAGGATTGTTAAATTTCAAACTCAAACTCAAACTCGAAAACGATTAAGTACTTTATTTTTGTGTTTGTTCCAGCGTTTCTAGCGTCCATGAATCGGGATATTAATTGAGAATTTTATAATCAGTGATCGTGAGGGATGTTATATACGGAATAATATCGCTTCCAAAATATTTGACTCTAATTTCGTACACTTTTATTCGAGTTTGTTACAAAAATGGGATAATTTTGTTTATAGGTCAGTTCAAAGACTTATCTCGTTTGGAATTCTGCTTGGTCTTTCTGATGTTAAAGCTACAAAATTCTACTAAACCATAACAACACCAATCACTGGACAAATTGTGTGTTCATTTGTGTCCTTTAAGAGGGCATGTCACCTTGGAGAACACCCTTTGTCTTATTGTTATCACAATAAGGTGAGAATAGAGGTGCTAAAAGTCTGTCAGGACTGTAAATTGTTGATGTTATTTGGACATTGTCTTAGACTTTTTCTTTTTCTGACTATTGGAGAGGTCCCAAAATCTCAGAAGAGAATATGAGAATATGATGATATTACGGCATCAACAGGGTCCATCCCAGTAGAGTGGTTATGTATATGTTGTCATGGATGGCTTTATATATGGTCTGAAGATTGCCAGACATTCCACAACGGAACTGCAATGGTCAGATAGCTCAAATACTTGAGAAAAGTGTTTGCATAATGGTCCGATCTCTGTCATGTACGAGAATTGCCATATGAGTGCCCTTGACTGGTCATATGCAATCGTCCAAATTTTGAAAATATTTAGCATTCCTAAAGTCATAAGTCTGTGTCTGTCATGTATGAGAATGGCAATTTGAGTGTTCTTTGCAAGTCAACCAAAATTTGCAATTCATCCATGTCGCATTTAGGCGTTTATGGAGGCAGCCAGACTTCGAAGAACTTTTCTTGTATTTGAGGTTGTATTTGATTACTATTATTGGGTAAAATTTTTAAGTAAACAATGCATGGTGTCCCATTTACTGGAGCGAGTGTTGTACGTTAGATTGTACAAAAATTTCTCATAGATAATCTGGCTGCTGTGACTGAATGTGTGCAACTCGATCCAAGAACATCAACTGCCTATCGAAACCAACAACTAAAGATCTCGGATAATTTGTTCACAAGATGGCATTGACTCAGCAGTTGAATGTTTGTCAGTTTGAGCCTTATAGAAGTTATAATCGGATATCATTTCATTTTCATTTTGAGAAGCTTGTGCATACACAGAGAGTCACAGACTTTTTGGTCAATATCTCCTGTAAGTCTTTGGGCCAACGTTTAAATTAATAACAACATAGGAAGTACTTCGAATGAATTGTACGATTGACCAGCTAAGTAAACTCAAGTGAATATCTTAATTAAAAGGAAGCTTTCAGAAACGAATATTCTGCATGAAAAACTTAAACCACAGTAAAGTTCTTATAAAAGTATAGTTTGGAAGTTAACCATAAAGTTAAATATCCCCGTTTGAAATTTAACTTTCAACATTTCGGAGTTAGGTAGTTTTGTCTAAGTTGAAATATACCTTGAACCATGTCAGAAAAGATCTTCGCATGTTTCAGATCCATTGGTCTGTCGGTCTTTAATGACATTTAAATAATTTCGATTACAAAATAACTCACGCGATGTTCCAAATTTATGAACTCGCTATGTGGAAAAAAGTTTTTAATGGAACCTAAACATCAAAAAACATCTATTTTCCGAATCACTGTTTAAAACTGTAGTCGTTTTCTCATAATCAATTTTTAAAAAATTCGCAAACCCTACTAAATCTCTACAAGCAAAAATCTTAATTACTACATTTGTGTATTTAATTCTCTACTTACTTTGCCAAACGGTCGCCATCATTATCAGCTAAATTCAGTAGATATGCCACAAATTCGACATCATTTTTAAAATGTAATCGTGTTCGCATATACTCCCATTTCTCAGCATTTTTCGTACCAATATAAATGTTTTTACTGAAATTCTGATGACGATATTTCTTACGTTCCGCAGCAGAAAGTGCATAGCTTGAGGCCGAGGAGGGTACGCCACAAAGACTTCCACCACCTCCGCCGCCGTAACCTCCTCCGCCACCACCAGCATTGGAGCCTCCACCGCCTACAATGCTACCACTGCCACCTCCACCACCACCCATACTCGTATGATGGTTAAGGCTGGCATTGCTTAAGCTGGCACTACTACTGCTGCGCACCAATTCATTGCAGTGACTGCTTGCATTCGAATGTCCATTGTTTTGAATGTGACTATTAATGCCGCCGCCACCTGCTAGAGCTGAGTCGAGCAAACTGTTAACATTACAACTACTATTATTGTTGATGTTGTTGTTGCTGCTGTTGGTATTATTATGGTTTGTGGTATTCGATTCTGTAAGACCGGAGGCTAAACCTTCACCATCACCAACATTGCCTCCACTACCATCTCTGGCATCCATGCCATCCATATTATTGTTGCTACCCACTGATGTGGCAACTATACTATCATCTGTTAAGCCATTTGCTGCTGTAGTCGTTGTTGTTGCTGTTGGACCACTGCTAGCACCCATGGCGGCCATTAACAAGACATCTGAATTATGAGACTGTTGAGCATTACTGCCACTGGCATTTTGTTGATGTTGTTGCGTATTATTAATGCAGCTACTATTGCCCACACCTCCAACTCCAATGCCTCCTCTTGCACTAGAGCCTCTAGGTGCAGTACTGCTACTACTACTGCTGCTACTTGTGCTACTGTTGCTGTTGTTATCGTCGTCGTGGAGATGATGTTCATTAATGCTGGTACCATTAATGGCTTCGTGTAACTGTTGTTGTCTTTGCCTTTGTTGCTGTAGTAGAAGTTGTTGTTGCTGTTGCTGTTGCTGATGTTGGCGTTGCTGTTGTTCTGCTGTTGTGGTAACAATATTATCATCATTGGTTTCTCCTTCATCTTCACTACTTGATGCACTACTGTTGGAAGCACTACTGGATAAATGACTTGAATTATTGAGTTGTTGTTGTTGCTGCTGTTGTTGTTGATTCGTATTATGATGTCCTGAGCTAAGGTTGTTATTGTTGTTGGCATTGTTGATATTATTACTATTGACCGCTAAACTTTTACTACTGTTGCCGAGTGCAACACGACTGAGGAATGGACCTCGTGTTTCCACATCTGAATTATCCGAGCTGTCATTAAAGTCGAACGCACTAAAATCGGCGTTCGACTTGGACATTTCGTAGCTCTTTAATAAGTGTTCTCAGCTCTTAATTTATTGAGTAATATTTTTGTTTTTGGGTTTTTTAAAAAAATGTCGTATACAAATTTGTATTTTTTGGTTGTAATTAAAGGATTATCGATTCATTTTAGCTGTTAATTAAGGAATATTATGAATTTATGTTTGTTTCTATTGTTTGTGGCTTTTTAATTATTATTTTGTGAGCAAAAATAATCTTAATATTACGCGAGTTTTCCTTGAAATTTAAACAAATACAGGCAATTTAAAGTGATTTTGGAAGTAACTAATTGTTTTACTTATTACATTTATTTCTTAAATATTCCATAACTTAACCCCATGGGCCTAAAAGAACATTAATGAACGGCACTTTCAAATAGTATGTGAACTGTATTATAAAAGTATCTGAGAAATCCATTTTAATGAATTCATTAAACGTACAAGAACAAATTGTAAAATTTTGAAAGAACACAAGCTCAAGACACCGTACATTGCCTAAAAAGACACCTTTTCTCAAAGTTCAATAATTTTAACGAACTTTGAAAGAAGGTAGAAAACTTTACTACTTTTTATAAGTCAATATTTTTCGTTGGTAATCCAACAACTAGTAAGGTAGCAGACATCTTAAATGAATAGATAGACCACATTTTATATCCATATTGAGAAAAAAGTATGTAGGCACCCGTTATCTTATAAATTAATCAAGGGGTATGTAAGGAAAAAATAGTGGGTTAACTTTTAAGTCCCATAAAGTAACGACTGAATTTAAATTCAAATTTACATATAATTGCATACACTTCGCTTTATAATCATTGATCCATTATAACTCAGCAGACGAATTTATCACTTTTCTGAAAGAAAGTTCATCAGAGAATGCGAAGACGTATCTGTCAGATGAATGTGGTATCACTTGGGTACATCGATTACGTTTTAAAGGACAAACAATAACCAAATATTCATAGGTGCCAAATTGCTTTATCTGTTGAAATAATTAGAAATTGTGACAAGAAATGTCGAAATGCTTTACTTGAACACCTGCCATGTTAGCCTATTTCACGGTGGTCTTTTTCAACCACTGGGTGAGGTTTTGCAACGGCTCACCACCGCCCCATTGTGCTTCTTACACGCCGGTGGCAATTTATGTATATGAAAGTTTCGGTCCAGTATTCGTACACTTTGCTCAAGCACTCGAGCTATCTAATCTCTTGCCATAGTAGTTCCGTTGGGGAAGCACAAAGGAAAACCTTATATGTCGCCCAACCACACTACTGAGATGGCTCTGTTGATTCGGCAACAGAACCTAGGGGACGTAATTGGTAGTCCGAAACAGGGATCATTTTAATTAACAGACTTATTTCAGTGGCCACAGAGACCCACTTTGATAAGTTGAGCATGTTTTAGAGTAAACTCCAACACACTCAACCATGAAGGAAAATCGCCGATAAATTAAAGAAAGGGCAGTGCACCATCTCACTCCGTTTTGTCAAACCTCAGTTCAGCACATCTCTTCCGTCACTCCATCCGACTAAACCTCGCATAATTCTACCAATCCATCAGATACAAGTACCTGGTGGTACACCTACACCTCATTTACCAAATATTTACATTATCAGCTCAAAACTGACATTTTATTAATCCACAGTCATGATCTGTGGTTTGTACCGCTCCTAGAATCTAGGAATCTTATCCCGAAAATTTATATTTCACCGTGTATCAATTTTTTAACCAAGAACCCCCTTCCTGCGAATTTAGGTTTAAACCACAGCTACCACGTGGATCCCTAATTTATAGTAACGGCAGACTAGATATACTGGTAGCATCTCTTTACCCCGGTATTCCAATACACCAAGATGTGTGTCATACATCAAGAAAACATGCCCCGGTGTAGAACTTGTGACAATTGAATGAAATTTTCCGGATTCTTTTGGCCGCAGAATTTGTCTGGTACTGCCTATTGACGAGGTTCCCTAGGAGTACAAATAACGCTGAAATTAATATTTTCGGTATAATTTACTGTGGCCGAGTCGACAGGTACCTACCCACAGAGAAGTGAATGCGGAGACTGTATTTGATACACAAGAACAGAGTACAGTGCGAGTCTGGGGTGTGTGGGACCTCATCCACCAGTCTAACCTTGAGAATCAGACGGAAGAAAGGTTTTTAATATGGGTTGAATGTTGATGGATGTCTAATTTATGTACTTCTATTATCGATAAAGTTTCGTTCTTTACACGGGTATGTTTTGTGAACTCCTATTTGTTCCCTATTTGTAAAGAAGCGATGTCTTGGATTATGATAGAGATAGAGTGATTACGTCCATCTCATGTGGTGAAGGAAGGCAACATACTGTAATTGTCAGAGCTTAAGAACCTTGAAAAAATTTGAAAACGATCACCGTGAGGTTTGACCGTCCAGGTAGCCGATCACATAAAACTCTCCAGAAACATTGTATAAATTACGATTTAGTTTAGTTGAAGTTAAGAATGTATGTTTTTAATCAAGTGACACAATAATCTGAACAAAAATATTGAAAAAGTCGAAATTGATTTATCATTTCCCCATAACTGTTACATATTAAATATTATCGTTTGTAATTAAGTATAAAACTTTTCCTAATATCGGTATTGTGTGCTTCCGGTGGGTTAGTAGTTTTAGTCTGTCAGACCGGTTGGTCAGTTGGTTTGATTCATATCAGAGGCCCTGATATAGGAGCGCACAACAGGCCCAATAGAGTCAAAGATGTATTACTTCCGAATTGAACTAACTTACTAATACCGGTGTATGTCTTTATACCGTCTACTGTTATAGAAAATAGTATTAAATCGGTATTATCAATTTGGTCTTACAGATATTTATGTAAGAATACCAGTTATGTTCTGATTTTTACAAAATTGGTTACATCGTCTGCATACGCTATTACCTTAAATCCCATAGATCTAAGATCCATAAGAAGTGGGTTCAACGCTAGGTTTCAAAGAAGTGGAGATAGAACTCCACCTTGTGGGGTTCCGCGATTTGTCACAGTTTAAGAACTTGAAAACATTTGAAAACGATCACCGTGAGGTTTGACCGTCCAGGTAGGCGATCACATAAAACTCTCCAGAAATAATTATTTACTTTAATCGCATTAATGAGCTTTAGATTAGGTTGATAAGAGGATGTATCTACACCAAATCCGAAGAAATACTCTTAGGCCACTATCGGGCCTGTCTTATATAGTATTCACTGTAGGTATTATCGTCCGATGTTCAGAAACTCAGTTGCCTGGACGAAATTCCTAAGAATTTTCCAATCAGTGTTCGTGAGGGATGTTATATCCGGAATAATAGCACTCCCAAGATATTTGGATCTAATTTCGGTGAAAGCTTGACAATGACAAAGAGAGTGCTGTAGAATCCGCACGTAATCGCATTTAATTTTTTAAATAAATAAGTTAAGATAAAGATTTTATAATAAGGACTCTTACTATACTTTTCAAAATTTTTTTAGTTTGTTCTAAAAAATTAAAAAATTCTTTCGTATTGGAGTTTTTTTAAGTAAAAGCTAACATATGTTTAAAAAACATTGAATTATTACTACAGTTTATAACATTTACAATTAACTACAATCTTTTACTTAAGATCATTGTTATTGATCTGGAATATATTCATTTTTCGTGGTACTTGCTCTGATTTTCCTGCAAAAAGGATTTAAACCAAAAAAATCGTTAAAAAACCACAAACAATATTGAAACGAAAGTCATCTAAACAGATTATCTTAAAACTGTTTTTTTACTATAAATACAACTACATACTCATATGGAAAATGTATCAGTGTAAGTATGTGTGTAATTGAGGGTGTATGTATAAATGACAAAGTAAATTTAACAACATTTCAATGGTACATTAACTTTGTATTGTTTTTTTTTGTAGCAAAACTACTTGTATTATTTTTTTTTGTTTGCTACAAATAACTTATTTTGTCGTTTATTTTATATGCTTTGTTTTATTCATTTGTATGTGAGTAGTTGTTGTTATTATTTGTTCACACAAAAGATTATCCTTTAACTTGTATTTCATTTTGATTTTTCTTTATTTTCATTTCATTTTCACTTTATATTTATTATTTTCAGCTTTTTTTCTCTTTTCTCTTATTTGGTGGTTTTTGTTTTCATAGATTTTTTCTTAAATTAGAGAAAATGTTGTTTTTTCTTTTATATCCTTGTTTATGTCACAGACATATACGCACACACACATACACGCATCCATATGTTGTTGAGCAGACACATGCACAAACTTTTGAATTATTTTATTTATTATTTTTGTTATTTGATTTTTATTTTTGGGAAAATTGGGGGGCTGTTTTTTTGCTCTCACTTATTATTTACTCTCTCTCTCTCTCTCACTTTTACTCTCTTCTTTTATTTTATAAACTTTTTTACGTTTTTGGGGAGATTTATGAGAATTTATTGAATATTTTTGTTTTTCTTTTTATTTTGTTGTTGTTTTTGTAAAAAAATTTTTCGCCGTATGTTTTCTTTCCTTTCTTTCGTTTGGTTACTCAATGTTCAATTTGACATTCCGTAGTTTAGCAGGATTTAATAGTGTTTATGTGTGTGTGTGTTTTATTCTATTATAAATTTTCTTTTGTTTTGTCGTTTATTTTCATTTTGGTTTTTGTTATGTTTTTCTTTTCAGAGTAAAAACTAACGGTAATTTTGGTTACTCACTCACTCACTTACTGGCTAACGGTGAGTGTAGCCAAGTGTGTCTGTGTGTGAGTGTGTTTGTAGTAGTAAATAAGTACACTTATTCCTTTTCTTGTTGTAGTTGTTTTTATTTCTTTTTTTTTGGTGTAATTGATTGCGTTTACTTTTTATACTCTTTTTCCATTCTCTATGTACACCCGCGACGTTTCGATCCGCGACATGGCTTAACGCGATTCTGTTGTGTATATGTATATAAGTATGTGTATTCGTTAGTGTATGTGTGTTGGTGTGTGTGTGATTGCAAAATTTCTTTGTCGTCCTGTGTTGGATTTTTTCTTCTTCTACACTTTTGGAACACTCCCATTAAAAAAACTTGTAATTTTTTTCTTATTTTTGTTAAATTTATTATTTGTTTTTGTAAATTATTTTAAATATCTTAGTTAATTTCTCTATATGCTCTTCAAAAAAATTTTACATATTTTTTTTCGTGTATTACACAAAAACTGGAGACTCCTTGGGGAGTTAATCCAACGCCCATTTCCGTTAACCGGAAGTTGTATCCAAAAATTTATGATTTATTTTATATTTCATATTCAAATTTATTACACTTTTTTTAGGAATTTAAAACAAATTCCTTATAAATTTATAGATTTTTCCCTAATAATTGCAAATTCCACGCAGCCATTTCCATTTTTCTTGCCATCTTAGACATAGAATACACTCAAGTTGTTACCAAAAAAATAGACAAAATTCTTTTTTTTTTGTATAAAACACTACTTCACCTTTCCACTATATGAAACTTTTTGTTTTATATTTTAAACAAATTTCAGCTGTTACATTTTAATTTTGTTGTTATTTATTTGTAATGAATTTTTTCACAATTATTTCTAGATTTTATTACAATTTAAATAAAAATTTCTATATATATTTTTTTTAGATTAATAAAAGAATTTTTTTCTTTATGGTATATTTATTCCACACACAGTCACCGTGAATTTTTTCTTTCGGTATTTCGTGTCATTCGCCGTTTTCGCAGTCGTCGGAATGAAAAAGTTTTTTATTTATGGTTGGTTTGAAAGTTGCTGTCAGTATGCGAAAGTTTATTTGCCACCCATTTCGTATCCTCCTCATCATGGCTTTCGTTGTTTCTCTTGTTGTTGCTGTTATTATCGTCGTAGTTTGCCGTTGTAGTTGTCTCAGTCGCCATACATAGAAAACAACGAATATAACATTAAGCATAGTCACAGGATTCGCCCTTCTCTTGCCATTTCGCCACAAGCACAAACTCACGCACATGCAAACATTCACTTGTACTTGGCAGCAGTAGTGTTGTTGTTTATGCCGCCGTCGTTGTTGTTGTTGTTGTTGTTGTTTTATAACAACAACTCATACATTTATGTATACCGTACAATACACAGCTTTAGCTGCTATCGCTAACATTCCTGCTGTGTTTCTTACCGTGGTTTTTGCTTTCGCAAAACCCCGTTATCCCCCTTTTTTTCGTTGTCGGGTTTTCTCATTTATAACTCTCTTTTTATCCTCTTCTCTCCCTGTTTTTTTCATTTTGTACAAGTTTGTTGGATTTTCCTTAATATAATTGTAGAGTAAATGTTGTTACTGATGGCGATGATGATGATGATGACGGTATCTTCTCTTAGTCCTCTATTAAATCCTTAACATCCTCATTTATTTTTATTTCGTAAACATTCGCTTCATGTGCAGAGCACTGAAGTGAGGAATTCATTTGTTTTTGAGAAATATTAAATTATTATTTAAACTAATTTATCCAATACAAAATCTTTTGCAATTTCGCGAGGTAAAATTTTGTTTTCTTTTGTACTATAGATCTTTTGTACTAGGTCCGACAACCAACTTCAGAATCAAATCTCTCGATTTTAGTGGTTAATTTACCTTTGTTAGAGCTGGTTAATATTTATTGTAGAGTTTATTAAACATATCGTTAAGCTATAATGTCGTCTGGGTTCAAATGTTTCAATTTGGATCAATAGTTTCGTTGTCATTGTTCCACGTCGATTTTGTAGAATCACAGTTTAATGATGACATTAGCACATAGTCCGCGTATTCAGGAGTAGGTTATTAAGAGTATATATATCTATATTATTCAGTATCTGTTGCCATCAAATTTTAACCCATAAGCAGGGCCTAACTCCAGATGGCAACATGGATTGCAGGATGCCAAATCTGGAGGAATAATTCGTTTACTACGCAGTCTAGTTAACGTATCATAGGCATAGTCTTTGGCCAATAACATAAAATTCATCGATCGGTGGATCTTACATGAGCGCAGACCATGAAAAACTCTCAAACTTAAAGTTATTAAAGTCCTAGTAAGGCGACTGAAAACCTCCTCTTTCAGATCCTCCTAAGCCAAGATAATGCAATACATTTTGAGTTCTTAGTTCATTTGAAATTCGCCAAATTAAAGATCTTCCTTCAAATGATATAAAGCCTAGTTCACTAGCAAATTCGATGTAACACACCTAGCCCTCCACTGGGCCTATTGTGTGACCCTGCTCTGCTGGGAATTAAAGCCACTACATCAGGTCAAATTTTGATTTTATCTGAATCTTCGCTAATTTGATTTTGAATTCAGACCCAAGTTCTAATGCAAAATTTACCAACTAGAAGTATATAAATCATCGAAGTTTTTTTTTCCACAAACATTGGTGTTTGTTTGAAACTTTGCAAACTTGAGAGTTGTATAAGACCTTTAAAATCATCTTATAAATGCTTCTAAGTCGAACGAGCTGAAGAAGTAGTCTATGGTCGCTAACTGGACACTGTATCTTGAAGTTCTTTGGAACTTCACCGACTTAAGACTTAAAAACCGCTTACACAAATTGGGATATTCTTCCAAACGCTTCAAAAACCAATCAATTTGAAGTTCCAAAACATGATTTTTTGCAACTTTCAAATATTTCAACGCCCAGATAACTAACTATACCCACTTAAGTATGGTATAAAACCTTCAATAAATTGGATCCGAAGGCTAGTTTGGTTGCTTATGGTAATTAATTTTATGTCCTTGTGTTGTTAAATCTTATATGGGGACAGACACAAGATCCTATATAAAATTTGCCACTTCGAAGTTTTCGAAAATTTGAGCAATCGTTTACCTTAAAGTCTTGTACACCTTTTAAGTTTGTTTTTATTAAACATTTTAAAGCACACAACTTTGAAAGTGAGAGCAGCTTTATGTTCATGGGTCAATTAATATTTTAAGCCACAAACCTAAGTATCTGAAAATTCGGAAAAATAATGGTTCATTTCTCGATTGATCTACTATTTAGGAAAGTGCTGCAGATTTTTATAGTAATCTTGAAATATATTATGGGGAAAATCTAATTTTCTGAAAATTTCAAAACCTAGCTGTCTGTGAAAACAGCTTATCATTAGATCCAATTTATCGCTCAGACCTAACTAATTTAAATTTTGCTGTGCCGATCAAAAACCTTAAGCAAAATTCGTCAATTTGAAGAAGTTGATTTCCTCGGATTGTCTAGAAAGCATCCATGTCGTCGGCCAAAATGGATTCTTTTAATTTATATACATTGCTCAAATGTACGAACTTTTTTGTTGTCTTGTTCAGACAACTTTTTAAAGCATTTAGACAAGCTCTCTAGGGATTTCCTTTACTCATACAGTGCATTGTGTTGGAACTAGGAAATTACGTTATGGAAGTTGAAGAAAGACTTCTTACACATACGTACTGTGTTGGTAAAGAGCGAGTTTTCCTTGTAGTAGTTTGTGCGATCCACTGGCAAGTTGATTACAAATGGATGTATTGTTGAAGAAGGACATGTGTTGCCAAAGTGATCACAAGTCAAAGTTTCTTTCTTGATTGAGCCACTATTTTCGGAAATAAGTAGATTACTAATATAAAAAGTGTCTAGAGAATGAACTACCAGAACTACCAGACGAGAAATTACTCCTGAATGAAAGATTTCATCTAGGAAAAATGATTCAATTCTCTTGCACTACTGTTTCATATGATATATAATTTTAACTCGCTCTCTTTCACTATTACTGTAGTGTACTTGCTCCGTCGGTTTGTTGTTTGTTTCCATGTGTTGGTCATAAATCGAATTTTACTTTATGCGCCTGTATTGTTGACACCATCAAACAAACACACATAGAGACAATAACAACAGCACGCACATACATATTTACATCGATTTGTCTGAATGTAATGTTGTGTGTATGGCTAGAAAGTCTGTCCTTTAATACAAACGTCCATTTGAACATGTATAAGTGCGTCAGTGTGTGTGCGAGTTTGTATTTTCCTGCTCACATACAATTGTCCTTTACGCGATGCTTTACGGTTTGTTGTGCTTTTCCATTGCCTCTGTAGTGGTAACTTGAGGCATTTGAAAAACACACATGTATGCATGTGTTTTTGTCAGAGAGTATTTTAACTACTGAGCGCGTGCTGCTTTAGAGGATGATTACAATTGGAGCGATGACCACTGACGGCAAAGAGTTTAAATGCATTTTCTATGTATCGTTACTATTTCCAAAATAGTGTTCTTTATAAGTATTTCCTTCTCCCTCGCTCTCTCTCTCTCTCTCTGACGATCCTCTCAAATAGTAAATTTAGTTTAAAGCGGAGAAAGTAAACAACAATGTCGATTATTTTTAAAAGCTTGA